CTCGGCAGGAGTGAAGAGTCCTGTGCAACTGGGATCAAGGGGAGCGAGCCCTTAATCAAATTACGGGTCCCTGAGCATCGAGCGTCTCGGTGCCTTATAAGAGCCCCAGCAACAGCACAAGGCTAACCTGCATCGGTCAAAAGTGCCCAGGCGCGGAAGCAGATAGCGTCCCAACAGCAGCTTTTGGCCGTACAAGAAAAGCAAAGAGATCAAGGGTAACGTGGGAAGCTCCTTTGCGATCAGACTGACCCGGCAAGTGAACATATAGGACCAGGGCAACCAACAGTGTAATGCTTCTCGACAGCGCAGTAAGCCCCAAAACTTCATCAAGTAACAGCTTCTCATTCAGTGAAGAATAAGCTTCTCTGCTCATGAACTCTTTACTTTTGCTAGCAATTGTTGTTGGTCGTCTGTGGGCCCAAAAGCGTTCAATTTTGTTGTGTCTTTGTTGTAAGAAAACTGCGTCCGTTCGGCCGGTTACGGGCCACTTTGGAGCATTTAGATCCCCTCGGCGTGGTCCAGGCAGGCATGGTCCTGTGCCTCCCTCCCCCCCCCCCTTCTTCTGCATCCGCCACCGGTCCGAGCAGCTTAATAGATGGAGCCCGCCAAGAACATAGGGCCATCCATTCAAACACGAAATGCTTACGACACAAGGTGTAGGGCTCCGAGCGATCAAGTGTGTCCGAGCAGACTGACATATAGGGCCCCCGCCAAGAGAGTAGCACCCTCCATTCAAATAGGAAGTACTCGAGATCCAATGTAGGCGGCCCCCGAATGATCGAGTGTGAACGAACAGGTCAACAGATGAGGCTCCCAACAAGAACGTAATAACCTCCATTCGGGTAGAAAGTACCCAAGACCCAATGTCGGGGGCCTCCTAACGATCGAATGTGCCAGAGCAGATTAGCACACAGGGTCCCCGTCAGGAGCGTAGGGCCCTCCATTTAAATAAGAAGTACCCAAGACCCAATGAAGAGGACCCCCAATAATCGAGGGTGGCCGAGCAGGTAACAGATCGGGCTCCCAACAAGAGCGTAGGATCCTCCATTCAAGTAGAAAGCGCTCAAGACCCTGTATAAATGGTCCCTGAACAATTGAATGTGCTCGAGCAGCTTATCAGAAGCGGCTCGGCAAGAGCGTGGCGTAAAGCACTCCATTCAAATAAGGAATACCGAGAACCAAATACGAACGGCCCCGAAAGATGGAGTGTGCCCGAGCAGATTATCAGATGGCCCCGACAAGAGCAAGGCCCCAAATTCAAACACCAAGACCCAATATGCAGCCCCCCCCCCCCCCGCCCCGAATAATCCAACGTGGCCGAGGAGACGAACAGATGGGCTTCCGAGAAGTGCGTGGGTCCTCCATTCAGGTAGGAAATACTCAGGACAAAATGTGGAGGGCCCCCGAATAACCGAGTGTGCCCAGGAAGGTTAACAGGTGGCGCCCCCGACAACAGCGCAGGGTCTTTCGTTCGAATATGAAATACCCACGACATGATGAAGAGGGCCCCGAATGATCGAGTGCGCCAGAGCAGGTGAACAGATACGCCCCCCACAAAAGTGACCTCTTCCATTCAAAAAAGAAGTACCCAGGCCCCAGTGTGGAGGGTCTCCGAATGACCGTGTGTGCCCAAGCAGGCTATCAGATGGGACCCCTACGAGAGCGTAGGGCCCTATGAAAGTGGCAGAGAATTGGAAGCTCCCTAGACAAATGTAGAGGGTCGCTGGGCACATCGGGCGGGGGGGGGGGTGTCGGTAGGTTAATCGGGACCCACGTTAAGGGCCCCTATGCAGCCGAGGGTACCCCGGCAGCTTAAGATATGGGGCCTCGGATGTAGCCTACAGAGCCTTTCTGACGAATGGAAATAATTCACGGAAGGGCTCTCGATTGATTAGAGTGTCCCGGCGTGCTAGCAGGAAGGGCACAGTAACAGTTCAAGGCCCTACGAGCAAATGCAAAGAAATCAAGGGAGTGTCTCAAATCTTTGAGTGTCTCTGCTCATTAAAACAAATAAGGCGTTTGCATCTGCGCACAAAATGAGTAGAAATGTTATTGATGTGATGTGCGCGACCGCAAAAATGGTAATGAAAATGCCCGCGCGCTCTGGTACTATGCAAACAATAATAAAGTATGGCTTCACGACATACATTGCAACTGCTAGGTATGCCCCATTGAGTGGGAAACATTTTGGATTTTGAAATTTGGCGACTTTTGATCCGACCTAGCGTTACCATGTTTGAAATTGCTGAGAGAATCAGGTATGGCACATCCAATGGGGAGGGTTCGGCAGTGATCGGTTCAGTGGGTTTTGAGCTTTAAGTTGTCTGCATTTTCATATACATTTTTCTCATCGTGTTTTCAATGTGCTTGACCTCAGGCCGGGTCTTGGTATTGCCTATTCATGGCTCACCTCAATGTACGGAATCGACTGTTGAAGGTTTTAAGGTGGTAGGACGAGTCGTTCCAGAGAACTTGCTTGTCTGCGTCATATGCCGGTTTTTAGACCCTGCCATGTTTATGTTTGCCGGGACGAATATTCACTTTGCTGGACGCGAGCAGAGACCCCGGTCATTGCACGTTCTCTCGCTGTTAAACTTGCTCTCTAGTCGCCCCGGAAACAGACCATCAGCAGAAAAATTCTGCATACACAAAAAAGTGATTGTCCGGAAAACTCGTAGTTTACCACGCGCATGGCTGACGTGACTAACTACAACATTTGGCGCCACCAAGCGGGCTTTTAATGAAGTTAGCAGATGGCGCTGCGCTAGCGTGTGGGCGCTTATGTTTGCTCACATTCCGGCGTATGTGCAAGGGCGAATCCAGGAATGCGTCGAGGATGGGACCACGCTTTGCTACGGTGCCTTGGGACTTAGTGCCCTTCCCCCCTCTCAGATAAGGCTCCAGGTTTTAGCCTTCTCAGTTTCAGGTTTTATTAGTTTATCGGGAAGGTATCTTCCTCTGCGCAACAGGAAAGGATAGATATAGTGGTCAGTCTGCAGCGGTGCCGCGCGCGGAGCCGTAGTGCACCTGCACGACGGCGCGGCGGCCCGCGTGAATCGAAGCGGCCTGGTTGACAGCCCCAGCCCCCTAGCCGCGCTGGCCACAACTCCCGCGCCGGGATCGAGGGGGGGGGGGGGGTGCGGTGAAGTCATGGAGGGGAATTACGTCGGCTCAAGCCGGCGGCGGCTACTGCGTTGTGCCCCGACACTTAAACGAACTAGTCTACAAAAGGAAAACATCAGCATTCTGTCGTGACTATATTTGAAAGCCACGTCTCTGTGACACACATAATGCCAACCTTTTGCTCGTGAGGAGTATGAAGCAGTGAGCCAGTCTTAGGAACCAGTGACCGGACGTTCGAGTGACCGATGATCCGTTCATGCACCGGCTCACTGGGGTTGGTAGTCTGACTGCTGTTGGAACGGCGGCGGGTCTAATGAAGGGTGAGCCGTGCCGACCGTGCAAGGCAGCGTGGAGCATGGCCTGTTGGTGCAGAAGGTGACGCGTTCACCGCCGTGGAATGGGCCGTTTGTTGGCTTTGACCTGTTGTGAGGTTCGACGATGTTTGTCGGCTACGTATCAGCCGTTGCCGTACAATAACCAGAAAATCCGAATCAGTTTCCTCGAGTTACGGTTTTTGCTTAGGCTTCGTAGCTGTTCGATGCAGTACATAACAGTTCTTCGAATCGTAGGAAGCCACCTATTCATTTTAAATTTTATTCCTCATGGACACTTCCAGTAACTTAGTCATGTTTCCCAAAATGAGGAGGGGCCGGACAGCATTCATTAACTGATTGAGAGTAGACGCAAAATGAGGAGTGTGCACACCGGTGTCTTGAATATTACGAACACGTGTCACTTTCTAAACCCTTGCTGCGAATTCAGCCACCAATCTAATCCTATGATTGGTGAGAGGTAATGGTGTCGTCAAAGTTTGAAACCCCGTGAAACCACGGTTGCCATGGTGATTTAACCCTGCGCCACCAGGGGAAGAGCTCGTCAAACTCACACTCAGCGCTTTTTTTGCTACTGTTGGTAGCACGCGAAATGCCGACGTTGTAGAGGTATCTGTTTGATTTCAAGCATACAATTTAGGATTACGTTAGACTTGACACTGGGAAGGATGCTTAGAACCCAGCCGTCGCGCTCGATGACGTTCAATTTTTATTTGAGGCGCTCATTTTGTTTTGATGGTCTACCCGGCGCAGTGACGTGATGCTGTTTCACGACAGTGCCAATGAGAATTATCAAGGTAAGACTTGAGAATGCTACCAGAGTGGTGGTAAACATCAGGGATCTGCTTACATCTGCTTATAGGTGCTCGGCCAAGTGCCAAACGCCCTCCAAAGAGCTGTTTGGCCGTTGGATACACCTACCTTGGACCCCCGGACCAGCCACATTTCAGGTTTTGAGTCCGAGGATTCCGGACATCCGACCGCCACAGCTTCTCCAGCCACGGTTGTGGTGCTCCTGGATTTTGGTTACCCTTCAAAATAAAGGCATCGTGACCTGTGAATGAATCGCTTGGCCTTGGTGCCTCTGGAAAATTTATTTCATGGTGCTTTGAAGTGAAGGATTTCGTGTCCCCTCACCGAATGGGTCAATCCATAATTTTGCGGCATCGGCATTGCGGCAGCCGCTGAAAACTTGTCTCCTAAAAATGAAGGTGTTGAAGCCCTTTGCTCTGCTCCTAAATTAGATGCCTATGGTAAATTAAAGTGATGGTGCCCAGAGACGACCGTTTTCGGTGCCGCTTCATTGATTCGGCCAATCCAGAACTACCATCGAGGTACAAGACACAAAAATGAGGTGCCCATTGGAATGAAATTGGGTGCCCTCTGAAATTGACGGTTTTGGGCCTTCGAAAAGCTCATGTGGCCCAAAGAGGGCGGGGGGAGGGGCATGATCCCGATGCCCTACTCTGGATGCGCACTCACACACGTTTGCGTCTTGATACGCAAAGAACGATGTTGTCTTTCGGAAAGAGAAGAAGAATGATATTCGGATATCAAAGTTTATTAATCTGCATTAACTGAGGCCGATACTAAACCCATTTTTGATTGATACGTTTCAAAGGCATGAAGTCACATGCTCAAGGTGTATCAAAACCCACGTAGCATACCGAGGGAACCACAAGATATGCTGACTAATTGCCGGATGAGTTGTGGTCGAACATAGAACAGCATTCACGTTTGGAATACGTGACACCGCACGCTAAAGCCCTGCAAATGAACGCAACACATCCGGAGGGGAATTGTTCATCCAGTACCATTCTTCACCCCTGGTAGGGATAGAAACATCTGGATCCACAGCCGTATGGACAGCAGATCTTCCCCGGAGAGCAGTTTTCCTGCGTGATGCAGTGAATTCCTTCTATGTATTCGCATGTCGTGATGATGCCCTCATTGGATGGGCATCCTCTCCCGCCAGCTGTGAAAAATAGGGACTCATCAGCAACTAGCAAGCGCTCATCAATGCTCTTTTCAATTGCGTGGTTACGAAACACTTTGCAAAGGAGGACGAGCACCAAAACGCCGATCATAGCGTGCACGATACACAAGGAGGGAAAAGTATGTCGAACTTCACCTGCCTCAGAGGTGACATGTGTGGCACACGATCAAGTTGATGACCTCGGGTCCCGCCCCATGCAAAATGTGTGACGCGTTACGCACGTGACGGCGCGCACAAGTCGGCGCCCCAGGCAGCGACTCAGGGCACGTGTGTGTAGTACGAAACGTGACATGGGCCCAGCAAGCGGCACCAGCACGCTGATCTGCGGTGGGTCGTTTGAGGACGAGCCATTGGTCCCGTGACGGCAGCGCAACGTTGGCCACAAGCGACCGGCCCACGTGGACACCCGGGATATGGTGTCAATAACTACCGGTGGGGTGAAAGCGAAAACTATAACACGACGGTGGAGTCATATTTCAGTTTTCTATATTACGTCAGAGTCCGAACCTGTCATGGCATGCAGGATATCACCGCCTTCCGCGCGTCCCCTTCACGCCCTTTGATTGGGCCTCCATTTACCCCGCGCCGCTGTGCGCATGCAGCCCACGCCCACACACCGCACAGGGGCTATGCATGCCCCGAGTCGGCGGGCTTCAGGTTGTTGGTTACCATCAACGCCGTCACAGACCGCTCGGTCTGCCCTTGCGGGGCCAGGCTGTGCTAGCTTTGGTGCAGCATACCGCCGTTGGTGTCAATATCCAATGCCTGGAGGACTTGGGAAGTCCAACCATCGCGGACACCGTGAGTGGCCATTTGGAAGGCAGTGTTTACAAAGTGCCCGTTGCGAACAGGACGAGAGATTCGCTGCAAGAACAACATATTCCCTTTCGATAAAACGAGTTTTATTGGGTTGGTAGCGTAAGGTGCATATGTTGAGTCTGAAAAGGACTGGAATACCCAGGGGATGAGGGAATTATCCACCGCCGACCCTTGTTTCCAACCAAGACCCTCAAAAACACTAAACATCTCTCCTTTGATCGTAAGCATTTGATGTGTTCGAACCTGGAATTAAGTTAGGTGAGTGTAACGGGGAAAGTACATCGTAGCCTGTGCATTAGGTGTGGTAATTGCATCATAATAAAAAACTAGGTGATCCTATTCTTCCTATCTTAGGTGGAGTGATTCCATCCCACATGAATTAGGTAGCGTGATTCTATCGCATAAAAGTCTAGCGGCGATAGACGTTGCGTAGTCCCACTGAGCCCAACATGATATAAAACATCATGATTATAGTCAAACAATGGAATTTTCTTCTCGTAAGAAGTTTTTTGTCATTCGAAGGCACAGAACTTGATTAAAAAATCTAAAGTTGTAACCGGTTTGAGATTTGCTGAAGATGCAAGGGGCCTTGTGGGATTTCGGCCACTTCAGTTTGAGGATCCTTTAGTTTCATCGGGAAGATATCTTCCTCTGTGTTACATGAAGGGATACATGTAGTGGGTATATGTGCACATGACATGCGTTTTTTCCAGAGATTAACTGATTTTACCATTCTGAGCCAAGAACTTCGCAACATATCCGGTGACACAAAATTGTAAAAGACGAAGCAGTTTTGGTTTTTAAATACCATCAAGGTTGGGCATGACAACACGACTGGAACGACTACCCACCGTTGACTTTTCAGTTGGTTCGCAGTAAGGGCTAGTGTATTGTTCGTTTTGCTCACTTCACGACTCAAAACATAAAGCGCATACAGCCACATGTACAGATAACCGAGGCGAAACCACACTACCTTATTGCAGACATGTCTATGCCTCCCGAATAACTGATGACAAAGTTTAATGAAATGCTTAGATAAAGTAAACAAACAGTTTCGATGAAAAAGCATACTTGAGAAAATCATTCTGGCTCAAACTGCTTTTATTTTCGCACGAAAGCAGTTTTAATTGTTCAAGGCGACCTACCAAATTAACATTTCCACCCTCCTGGGGACTTCCAGCAAGTTAGTCATGTTTTCCAAAATGGGAATGTACCGGACAGCATTTCATTAACCGATTAAGCGCACACGCAGCATCAGGCGTTTGCACTCCGGTGTCTTTATCATCACGAAAAAATGTCACTTACGAAACCCTTGCTGTGAATTCGCGCACAGATAGAATTGTGCGAAATCGCAGGAAGGGTTAAAAAAACTCATACCAATCGAGCAATGACGTATTGAAAGGTATGTTTGCTGTATAGAGGAATTATGTTGTCTAGACCAGTCTTTTACCACTTTTAAGTATAACTAAGAGTTACAGAAGAGCCTATTTCATCATATCTGATGCCTGCTTCAATATATTCAATTATGTGGCATTTCTTTAAATTTGTTGAAAACTCAACAATTTCAGATTGAATGAAAAACTGAAAGCGTGTTTTAACATAGTTGTGCTGCAGTGAGTGGTTGAACCAAAGCGTTGCATCTGGAGGAGGATTAGGACGTTTGGATTTGGACGATGGGTAATAAGATCATGTGGTTCTATTTCGTTCAGTTGTCCATGATATCCTTGTTATTTGCACCAAACGTACTTGCGTCAAACAATTCTCTACATAGTGTTTTTTTTACGAAAAGGTAGCGGGACTTCTGTTTCACGATTTAAAGCTAATAGAGCAAATCAATATTACAACTTTTTTCCGGCAAAGTGCCTGGTATGATAAAATCACCCCACCTAATTCGGAGGCAGGGAAAACTCACATCAAACAATTCTTTCATTTTCCGTGGCTTCTAGTTGATTCATCTTTAGGCAAACCTGGTGTCTAACCAAAAAAGTGTGCGTAGTGATTCAAAAATGGGTGGTAATTGGAGCCAATGAATCCACGCATGCAGTGATGCAATTTCGCCACGATCGTGGCGACGATTTCGATGACGGCGGGTTGTATTTGGCCCCGTTTTTCCAAATTCCGAAATGGCCGGCTTGCACGACGAATTCCGGCGCAACGTTGCGTCGCACACTCTCGTGTTGACCTTGTGAAATGTAGCCGGTACACGGGTCGACGCGCTGAAACTGGATTCACGCCTCCACCGGCTCCGGTGGCCGAGGTGTGGCGTAAGACGTGAAAAACGGTCTGAAACGGCAAAATCTGTCTTTACCGTCGCTGCGCACGTGGCACGTGGCACGTGTAGCTACGTACGTGACATCACGCGGTTCCCTGTTCAATTGTCTGTCGAGGGGTGTTGATTTCCCGTCGCTCCGACCGTCGGTTGCCGAGATGCGGCCGGGGTTTCTAACTGCTGATCGCCGGTTTTTATGGAGGTCGCTTTTTCACGCCTCCCATGTAAAACCAATTGGCCAAAAATGTGCATTCAAATACGCACCACGCACTATACGTTGACTCTACCGCTACGAAACTCGACTCAGTACGTCGCCACGTGAGCACGTCCATCGTGTCAAAATTTTACCTTTAAGCGACCCGCCGTTTGACTTCCGCCACCTCCATCTCCACAATGCAGAAGTTTTGCCACGTGCATTCTGTTTGAATTTTTTACAAGGCTAAAATCGACAGGATGTGCTATTTGATTGGCAGTTAAACCCAAGTGAAAGTTTCAAAAACCAACGTTTTTGCTCATATTTCGGTTGTTCTTGGACTGACCTTAAAAATTATAACACCGAACGGTGCTCAGTGTTAAGACGCCTTGTTTACTGTAGAGCGCGCCTGGTTTCAGGCAAAATTCAGGGACTGGATCATTTCAGAACAAAGAAGATTTTTCTTACATTTTGCTGCCTCTTTCGTCCCACTTGTCGTTGTTCTTTGCAATCGACTTTTCCTGTCGTGATCTTTCATTTTTCTTTTAACGAAGCATATCAGACTGTTAGTCATGTTCAAAGCTACACTTGGTCCCAAATCCATAGGATATTAAAATCTAACGCTGTAGCCATAAGACAGTACCAATAGCCCTATTCCTCGGAGAAGAAAAGGCAGGAGAAAGGAAATATAGTTGCCTTGATATTTCGCCAACATGCTTTTATCGAAACGAATAGCAGTAGCGAATTCAAAATTGTTGCTGCTGCTTTCACCACAAAATACAGATCGCAACGGTTAGCGGATACACGGTGCCATAATATTCACACACCTAAGGCCATAAGACACGTAATGGTTTGTGAGATTAAATGAAAGCCTTCTAAACACGGGAATGACCTAAGTCCTTTACAGTTAACCCGATGCCCAATAACCAATTACAATAACCCAATGCCCGTCCCCACAACCAAAATGCCTGCCGCCCCACATGAGCGCCATAGAAGAGCGCCATCGACGCCCTAAGGTGGCGTACAAAGGGGTGTTGTCACTTGTCGATTAGAAGAGCCGCGTGCATCCAATGCCGGCTCTCTGGGTGAATCCTTGAATGACTGCTATGCGGCCTAAATTAAAAACTTGCTAAAAACAATCCAAACATGAAAGGCAGATCTTCCCTTTCATCAAAACAAAACGGACTAGATCCGATGAGGAAAAATGGGGTGGTGTATACATATATATATATATATACATATATATATATATATATATATATATATATATATATATATATATATATATGTATATACATATATATTTGTGTGTGTGTGTGTATATAGAATAGAGAGAGAGAGAGAGAGAGAGGGAGAGAGAGAGGGAGAGATTATATATATATATATATATATATATATACATATATATATATATATGTATCCATAGGAGAGAGTTATCGGGTGCTCGGTTTGGCCCCCGAAGAAATTTCACAGCTTGACGCCCGTGATTCAGTATGCAAGATTCGGAAACCTCTCCATTTTTTTAGGGAGCGGTATGGTATCCAGGAGTTTGTTCGCGTCTTAGATAGCCAAGGCCTGGCTTCGTCACTTATCCCATAACCTACTAAACGACATCCGATGCAACAGTTTCCAGTGAACGATATACGCATCAGTGTAGAAACTACGCGGTAGTCTTCCGAGAACCAATGGACGCAGCCGCATTTCTCACCGCAGACCTAGCCCGCGGCGGCATTGCGTCAGCTGACCTTTACCCGCCGCTCACAGACCGGCTCACAGACCGACATCCTGCCGTGGGGGCTGCCCAGGTGCTGCGCCACCAGAGGCCAGGTGGCGGGCGGTGAGTGACGGCCGGCAGAACAGCGACCTTCGACGGACCCGGATGTTTCGTGACCGGCTGTCACAGGGACATACCGCAGGCGAAGGATGACAAAGGTCGTCACATATGACATTACGGTGGTCGGACGTGTGGCGCCGCCCAGTTTAGCAAATGTCAGTGTCTGATGTGCTTTGTTCTGTCGCGTGTTTACTCGCCATGCCATCTGCAAAAGTTTCTAAAGACTCAACCATGTTCCATGTAGGATAATGTTACGGAAATGACACACCCGTAAAGCGAAAGAACCCTCCTGTGGTGGCTCACAGGTTTTCACCTAATCAGTAGCTTTGCTAGATAAAAAGCTAATAGGCTTTTCGCCAACAGGCACTCGCTCAACTGCCATGTTTTACTCCTTTGCCCCATGGTGTATGATCCATTTTAAGTACAGTTTACACTCAGCTAGCGTGCAGTTTATCATCATCACATCAGCGTACAGTTGATCGGCAACTAGCTCGCGTGCTGTTTTGGTTGTAGTACTCTGAGAATTTGGATACATGATTGCTTAACCACATGGCTTTTTCTTGCAATGTTGCATTATGGCAACAACCTCATCTCCCTCAATCCCATTCGATCGATGTCAGATATCGTTAATCAGAGCAGACACCCACGTGAAACTAACTGCACAATGCGGGTAAGGATGTTCTTATCAATAGACAACCCGAACACTGTTCGACTGGTGCGTGCGCCGGCAGTCGACCGAGAAACGACCAATGCCACCTTCTACCAACCTGACCTCGATTATAACATGCTGTGGATGAACCATGACATGATGGAATGTGAAAACGGCATAGTCTAGCTATTGTGTCTAAAATGCAACGGCAATATCTGCGCTGACCAGATGCGCTCTGTTCTTTTTTTATCGCTGTAACTGAAAACGCAAACCACGCCACACATGTCGACGTTGTCTCTTGAGGCTTGACTACAAGCCTAAGCGAACCAATTTGCAAGCAATCCCTCTTCTAAATTTATGCACAAAAGCCAAACTACATTGACTTCTACCTGCTAATCTTAAGAAATATGGCTTTCCCAGTGCATCGCTACCACCCGTTTGTGTGGGTTTCCCAAAGCCTGCACGCTCTATGCACCCCTGTTTTGGTGTCGCATGCAAGGGAAAACACTTCAGCCGGCAACAGAACAGCCCACTTGTCCCGTACCCAAAAGCGCGTCAAGCTGTTTTGACAGAGTCACTTTCAACACAAAAATCAGAGAAAAGCATGAGCAATGATTGAATGGACCAGACAGAGAATTAGATAAAAAAAAACAGAGCTACAATTTAAGACATTACAGCTAAGCAATGTTTCAGTACTATCCCATGGCAAAGAGTCTTGCCCCCACCTGTTATTGCCTGCATTTGCAAACACGGAAAAGGTACTTTGAAAGCTGTACATGGTGAGTATTGTGGCATTTAATAGACCATAGTCCTCGCATAGTCCTTGAATTATTTGGATCTGTCGATAGTGGGACAAGTAGTGAGAGAGGTATGCTATTTGCTCAAGCATTGAAGCGCATCGGCTGTTCCGCTGATGGTGGGTGACAACTGAGAGGTTAAAACGTACGACTTGAATATTCATATAGGCATACAGGGGTAAACAATTGGTGAATGAGTTAAGCTGACCAAGAGGAATCCCTTTTGTGACAACGATCAGGTAGCTGAGAGCGGGGACAGCGCAGCAGAGGAGGCAGAGGTAACAGCGTGGAAGAGTATTTGTTTTCTCCACCCCTAATTTTTGGGAGCCCTCTTTCTTGCAACTAAGGGCATCGTAACTACACAGAAAGTACCAAAACTCAGATCACGTGGGCCCCATTATTAAGATCGTTGGGAAGGCCCCATTCTGTCCAAGAGAACGCCTGAAAAATCATGCCCATCCAACTTTAAACCCTTGGTGGCGCCTCTCCATGGTAGCGAAAAATGTGCAGTCAAACTCAGAAAATATTACTGATTGGCACCTCTGAAAACTAAATGCACAATGCCGCACTGAAAGTGACAGTCCAACGCACAAAATGACAGAACCCAGTCTGGCTAAGTGGGTGTAGCCACTGAGGAGTGATAGGACATTTCAGCCAAATTTTCCAGAATTGGTGGCTTGTGTCCTCCACTTTGAGCTTCCTCATCCCTCCACTGAGGGATGCGGCCGCCCTGTGGGCGTAAGTGAGGCTCGCAAACTGCCTTGTGGAGTCAGAATCCCTGCTCTTTCCAGGAAAACGAAATAAGAAAAACGACATTTTGATAGAGACAATCCTTTCAACCCAGCCAAGTTTCCTTAAACATTCAGAGCGATGCAAATACAGCAGAGACACGAGCTGACAAAGCTTACTGGGCTGTTGGGAGGCCGAGCAGACGCTAGCCAGCGCCAGCAGGCAGACGATGGTCAGCACCGAAGCACGCATCGCTGGGAAGTGGCAGCTGTCCACGGCGGTGGCTCCCCCTCCGCGAGCTCCACCGTCTGCGTCAACCGCCCGCGGCAGGCATTACGCGGCGGTGAAGGTCAGCTGACGGCCGGCCCGTCACCTGGCGTGCTTCGGGACGTGCTCAGTCCCGCGGGCAGCGGGCTGACTGACGTCCCCATCACAATGATGGGCAAAACTGGTCCAAAAGTAAATGTGTGAAGAAATTGTTATCACTTTGGTTATTGACAGATGTCTGGGAGCGTTGTATGAGAGAGGTGGTGTACTGTCCAAACAATCACAGGGTGACTACTTTTCTAAGCTTTTCTTCGGAAAGACTTCATTGCCCACGAAAAAAATGGGCACGCAGCATTTTAAAGCTTGCAGTTTACTTGGCTTGCTATTTCTTCCTGCAGAACCCGCTTGCCTCTGTGTAAGTCAAGCTCAAAAATACTTTGGTAGACCTTACTGTACAACTCAGATGACGAAGAATCGAAGTGCGAGCCGTAAGGACACGAGAAAGTTACGCCACCAACGTCAAGGTCGACCTCTTAGTGTGATTTGATCGGCCGGTGTCCTCAAAATAGGCATCAAACTACCCAAGACCCGTCAAGTTTTGAAATTGTCTTTCCATCTCGCTCATGCATGAACATACAATCTAGGGATGCACAAACCATTAAGTAGCCTGGTGCTCACTTTAATGTTGACTGCATAATTAGGGTTTGAAAGAAGTGAAACTAAGTAAGGGTTCATCAGAGCGTGTTTATAAGAAGGTTCCAAAAATTGAGAATCCTTCAAAATTGAAAATTCAGAAAAGGCGCGAAAACATACCTGATTTTTCGGCATTTTTAGGATAAAAGTGCCGTTTAAATGCTGTATCATTCAGCGTTTCAAGTGTTATGCAAGTGCAGAGAACCTTCTCCCATTTGTCTACGTCTTCAGATACATTTCTTTATGTGCTCTTTTTCTGTGCTGCGCTGCACAGTGCATGATCAATGTATTGTTCATCTGCTTCAACGTCTCGCTCATTTTTTGATGATCAGATTTAGCCCAAGCCTTTTGGATTTCAGGTATTTCTGGAACCACAGTTTTCGCAAAGTAGTAATCGTTTTGAAAGCCGTACTCCTACCACCCGACTGTGTTATTCCAAGTCAACGGAGAGAGCTTGGCAATGAAAGTTTAACGCACCGCAACGCTTCGCATGGCCCGTCCTGCCCTCTGACGTCATCCAACCACTGACGTGGCTGCTGCCACTGGCTACGATCCATATCTGTCTAGTACGAATGGCCTTCCCCTGCCTTCTTACCTCTCACCCGTTAATTGAAACGAAGGATTTTGCTTCCCCTCACCGAATTGGTCAATCCATAATTTTGCGGCATGGACATTGCGGCAGCCCCTGAAAACTTGTCTTTTGAAAATGAATTTTGCAGGCGTTTGCTCCACCCCTCGAATTGGGTGCCTAAAGTAAATTTAAGTTATGATGCCCAGAGATGAAAGTTTTTCGTGCCGCTTCACCGAATGGGCGAATGCAGAAATGTTATCAAGGTGCAAGGCACAAAAATAAGTTGCCCATTGGAATAAAACTTGGTCCCCTTCTAAAATGGACGGGTTTAGACCTTTGAAATGGCCCGTTGGAATTTGGTGTCTCTTGAAAGGCTCGTCGTGCCCCGAAATGAAGGTTTTGATGTTCCTTCAACATGGGATTTTGGTGCCTCGAAGAGACACCGAAAACTCATGTGGCCCAAAGGGGGGAAGGGAGGGGGGCATGATCCCGACGTCCTACTCTGGATGCGTGCCCGCACAAGTTTGCGCGTCGACCCACAATGAACGATGTTGTCTTTCGGAAGCATAAAAAGAATGACATTCGGATATCAAAGTTTATTAATCTGCTTTAACTGAAGTCGCTACTTAACCCATTTTCAAGTGATTCCTTTCAAAGGCATGAAGTCACATGCTCAAGGTGTGTCAAAACCCACGTAGCATATCAAGAAAACCACAAGATAGGCTGACTAATCGCCGGATGAGTTGTGGTTAAACATAGAAAAGCATTCACGTTTAGAATACGTGACACCGCACGCTAAAGCCCTGCAAATGAGCGCAAGACATCCGGAGGGGAATTGCTCATCCAGTACCATGCTTCACCCCTGGTAGGGATAGAAACATCTGGATCCACAGCCGTATGGACAGCAGATCTTCCCCGGAGGGCAGTCTTCCTGCGTGATGCAGTGAATTCCTTCTATGTATTCGCATGTCGTGATAATGCCCTCATTGGATGGGCATCCTCTCCGGCCAGCTGTGAAAAATAGGGACTCATCAGCAACTAGCAAGCGCTCATCAATGCTCTTTTCAATTGCGTGGTTACGAAACACTTTGCAAAGGAGGACGAGCACCAAAACGCCGATCATAGTGTGCACAATACACAAGGAGGGAAAAGTATGTAGAACTTTACCTGCCTCAGAGGTGACATGTGTGGCACACGATCAAGTTGATGATCTCGGGTCCCGCCCCATGCAAAATGTGTGACGCGTTACGCACGTGACGGCGCGCACAAGTCGGCGCCCCAGGCAGCGACTCAGGGCACGCGTGTGCAGAACGAGCCGTGACATTGGCTCAGCAAGGGGCACCAGCACTCTGATTTGCGTTGGGTCATTTGAGGACGAGCCATTGGTCCCGTGACGGTAGCGCAACGTTGGCCACAAGCGACCGGCCCACGTGGACACCCGGGATATGGTGTCAATAACTACCGGTGGGGTGAAAGCGAAAACTATAACACGACGGTGGAGCCATATTTCAGTTTTCTATGTCATGTCGGAACCCAAACCTGTCACGGCATGCAGGCTACCGCCACCTTCCGCACGCCCCCTTCGCGCCCTTTGATTGGGCCTCCATTTACCCCCACGCCGCTGTGCGCATGTAGCCCACGCCCACACACCGCACAGGGGCTATGCATGCCCTGAGTCGGCGGGCTTCAGGTTGTTGGTTACCATCAACACCGTCACAGACCGCTCGGTCTGCCCTTGCGGGGCCAGGCTGTGCCAGCTTTGGTGCAGCATACCGCCGTCGGTGTCAATATCCAATGCCTGGAGGCCTGGGGAAGTCCAACCATCGCGGATCCCGTGAATGGCCATTTGGAAGGCAGTGTTTACAAAGTGCCCGTTGCGAACAGGGCGAGAGATTCGCTGCAAGAACAACATATTCCCTTTCGATAAAACGAGTTTTATTGGGCTGGCAGCGTAAGGTACATATGTTGAGTCTGAAAAGGACTGGAATACCCAGGGGATGAGGGAATTATCCACCGTCGACCCTTGTTTCCAACCAAGACCCTCAAAAACACCAAACATCTCTCCTTTGATCGTAAGCATTTGATGTGTTCGAACCTGGAATTAAGTTAGGTGAGTGTAACGGGGAAAGTACATGGTACCCTGTGGATTAGGTGTGGTAATTGTATCATAATAAAAAACTAGGTGATCCTATTCTTCTTATCTTAGGTGGAGTGATTCCATCCCACATGAATTAAGTAGCGTGATTCTATCGCATAAAAGTCTAGCGGCGATAGACACTGCGTGGTCCCACTGAGCCCAACATGAAATAAAACATCATGATTATAGTCAAACAATGGAATTTTCTTCTCGTAGTAGGTTTTTGCCATTCGAAGGCACAGAACTCGATTAAAAAACCTAAAGTTGTAACCGGTTTGAGATTTGCTGAAGATGCAAGGGGCCTTGTGGGATTTCGGCCACTTCAGTTTGAGGATCCTTTAGTTTCATCGGGAAGATATCTTCCTCTGTGTTACATGAAGGGATACATGTAGTGGGTATATGTGCACATGACATGCGTTTTTTCCAGAGATTAACTGATTTTACCATTCTGAGCCAAGAACTTCGCAACATATCCGGTGACACAAACTTGTAAAAGACGAAGCAGTTTTGGTTTTTAAATACCATCAAGGTTGGGCATGGCAACACGACTGGAACGACTACCCACCATTAACTTCATAATGCCGCACGGAAAGTGACAGACCAATGCACAAAATAAATAAAAAAACGCCGTGTGGTATAAGCGGTAGGAGCCACTGGGGGGTGCAAGGAAACGTTTCGACTAAATTTTCCAAAACTGATGGTTCGTCTCCTCCACTTTTGCTCATCAAATGCACATCTTGCCTTCTTTTCACGTTAGAAACTTCGTATGCAGGTCAGATTGCTCCAGATTTCAGTTTGATCTCTCCAATCAAGATTTGTCCCACCTCGATTTGAAAGTTGCGGTTGCACCTCGGGGCATGAGTGACAGAGATCTAACATACCAAAACTAGTGGGGCTAAAAATTCCCTGGAAGGATTTGGGTATACCAAAGAGCCGCTTTCAAGTTCAACATGTAAAAGGTAGCAACAATCTCCCTTCATTCACATGATGTACCTATCTTCCGGGAGTTTCTCTTGGCGCGTATTGATATGCAGACCTTGCGAGTGAAGACGGGTCCAGTGGGTGGCCATTATTGACTTTAGGAACCCTACCACAACCTTTTTTAGCTTATGGTGTGAATGCAAAAACAAAGCGCACAGTAACAACATTTCAGGTGTTGGGAATTTTCTGAGACTGGGAAACCGCTCTGTGTACTCATAATTCTTGCTCTTTCTGGGAAACAAAATAAGAAAAATAAATTTGAATAGACACAATGTATTTAACCCAACCAAGTTTCCTTGAACAGTCAGAGCGATGCGGATACAGCAGAGACACGAGCTGACAATGCTTACTGGGCGGATGGGAGGCCGAGCAGACGCCGGCCATCGCCAGCAGGCAGACGATGGTCAGCACCGAAGCACGCATCGCTGGGAAGTGACAGCTGTCCACGGCGGTGGCTCCCCCTCCGCTAGCCCCCACTGTTTGTGTCAACCGCCCACGGTAAATGCCGCGACGGTAAAGGTCAGATGTCGGCCGGCCCGTCACCTGGCGTGATTCGGGAAGGGCATACCCTTGCGGGCAACGGTGGTGACTCACAGCTCCCATCACAATGATGGACAAAACTTGTCCAAAAAAGGTGCGATTTAATTTGTATCACTTTGATTATTCACAGATT